TCGCCTCAGCCTCCCAAAGTGCTGGGATTACAGGCTGAGCCACCGAGCCCGGCGTTTATATGCATTTTAAATCTAGAAGGAAATATCTGTATTGCTTTCTGTGAATCTTAATTATCGTTTAAAATACTGTTTATTTTTCTATACACTATTATATTTCAGCAGTGAATATATGTTAGTTTTTAATCAGCTAAAAGTTATCAAAAAACAATTGAATCAACTTACACTAGCAATAAATATGTTATTTTTCCCCATAGTGTTGTTCACATTGTTTTATCATTTCCTTTAGATTCGCTGATTTGAAAAAAGTGCAAAATGGCAACTCATTATTGTTTTAATTTTGAATTACTTAAAATTAATGAACTCTACATTTATTTTTAGAATCTGTTCTAGCACTGAATAATTTGAACTACATTATTAAATAATGCAGCTCTTATTCTAAAATAAAATGGATACTGGTTGAGTTCAATTTACCTTACACTTCAGAATATTATATGGTATGGGCTTGTTTGGGACAAAGGTTTATATACACCTAAAGTCACTAGTGTTTTAATCATTGATAACCTTAAAAACTATTTATTATGGAAAATGCAAACATACACAAAAGTAGATAGAAAAGCCTAATGAATTCATATACTCATCAATCAACCTCAACAATTATCAACTCATGCTTTATCTTATTTCTTATATATCCCAACCCTCCTTTTCCTGAATTATTTTGAAGCAAACTGTATAATTCCATCTCTAAGTGTTTTGGTCTCTATCTCTAAAATATAAATACTCTCTAGAAACATAGATATAAGACCATTACTATACCTTAACATATGAACAATTATTTTTTAATATTCATCAAATGCTCTCTCATTTTTTAAACTTCTCAGTATCTCGCTCTCTCTTTCTCTCTTGCTCTCTCCTGCTCTCCAGTTTTTTTAAAAAACAAGATGCAAAAAAATCCCTATCCTGCAATATAACCATTAATAATTTTTAAAATGAGAAACTGAATTCTTTTCTCAGTACTTTTTTCCTTTGATTTTTATGTAGCAAAATATAAATGTTTCTTAAATGTTTCTTAAACATCATCTTCATTATATTACCTTTCTGGTGTTATTTGGGGGGTTGCCTTCACTAGTTCTTATTTCTTCCTCTCCCCAATATACTTCCTTCATTTCTTTTCTCTCCTTCCCTCCCTCTTTCCTTCCTTTGCTCCCACTCTTTCCATTTTTCTCTTCCTCAGTCTCATTCACTCTTCTAGTTTCAACCCTCTCCATTTTGCACACGATTCCGAAATTTCTCATCCCACCCCGACAACACAGTTTGGTTTATTCTTACTGATAGTAACTGGATAGATTTTTTCTCATCTTTGTCCTGCTGGCATCTGTGACTCAACTTTCCCAGAATGAACTTGCCACCATCCCTTCACATCAACTCCCCATTCTAATCTCCCTGTGTCTGTCATTGGTGTAAATCTCTCAGGACACAGGTGCTATCTCTCCCCATACACATTAGTGGCTACGTCTAGTCAAGGTCTCTTCTATCCGTTACTCCCTTTCTATTCTGGTCTGTCATACAATAGCAAAGTCCTTGAGATCAGTCACTTAAATTTTGTCATCTATAAGATGGTTAATTTGCCTATCACTTAACTTCTTTAAGCTTCTGATTTTTATTTTTACTTTTTAAGTTGGGTAAATCTACCTGATGGGGTAAACATTAAAGCAAAACTACACTGAATGGCTGACTGAGAGTTTACACTTGAAAAATAGTAGCCGTCACCACCTATACTAATTATTATAACTGTCACCTGTCAATAATTCTGAGCATGTGTGCATATAGGGAACCACCTTTGGTGGCTCTGACAAATGGCACCATCATATCTGGGTTATGTTTCCCTTGGATCGAAGACTTCTTCAGTCCTAATTGACCCAAGACTCTCATCCAGATAGAGCCTACTTAATTTTTTTTTATTGTGGTCAAATAAACATAACACAAAATTGACCATGTAGCCTTTTTAGTGTACAGTTCAGTGGTATTAATGACATTTAAACTGTTGTGCAGCCATCACCACCATCCATCTCCAGAACGTTTTTCTCATCTCACACTGAAACTCTGTCCCCATTAAATAATTACACCTTATTTTCTCCTCTCATCACTCCCTGGACAACCATAATTCTACCTTCTCTCTTTCTGAATTTGCCTATTCTAGGTGCCTCCTATATGTGGACTCATGCAATATTTGTCTCTTTGCCTTTGGCTTTTTTCACTTAGCACAATGCTTTCAGGGTAAGATAGTCTACTTCATCTCCATGGATTTATGATTTGGGGAGTGGAGTATGGGTGTGACTTGCATCCTCTTCTAGGCTTATGATGCCAAATTGAGACAACTTCAATGAAACCTAAGCATTTGTGCTTCACGTGGAAGAAATAGAGGAGCCTTGAGTATCATGACCCAAGATACGTTTTATTTACTGTTGTTGGCAGTTGGCAGCCATAGAATTTTCTTCAACTGAAAGAAACACAACCTTACCTTTACCCCCAAAAGAAAATGATGCTTGAAGACTTAAAATGGTAATCAGGGTGATAACAGGGATTGAGAACTGAGGAAGGGCCATTAGAGTGGCTCAGTAAAGGATATGTGGACCTTTAGAAATTTGGTTTTGGCAGAAGATCTTTTGGGGGAGAGTAATAGGTAGGGTAGAAACCAGATAAGCAGGTGTAATTACTAAGATTGGGATGAGGAATTGACTTGTGTTTACATGCTGAAGAAGTCACAGGGCACTGCATTCATCTTTTTCAGTTCTATTGTGAATGCTGAACAGAAGAATAGCTTTTACTCAAAGTTCAATGTCATTTCATTGAACTAAGATACATGTTAACCACAGCAAGTTGCTAGCACATGCATGCCATCTAACAAGGTGCTTTTGGGTTTCAGGGAAGAAGCTCCCAGATTTGAGGATTTTACAGAACAGTACATTGTTTTAAATTATGTTATTGACATTGGATTGCTAACATTTTATCTTGTTCAGTAAGGACTAAGATTCTTATTTAATGATATCCTTATTTAGTGAAAAGGAACAAATGAAACCCCATCAAAAGCACTCAAATTCTATCTACTACTGTCATTATTTCCTAATGTAAAATATATGATTTTTTTTTTTGTTTTTTGAGTTGGAGTCTCACTCTATCGCCCAGACTGGAGTGCAGTGGCCGCTCCCGGCCACCGCAGCCTCGACCTGCTGGGCTCCGGTGATCCTTCTGCCTCAGCCTTCTGAGGAGCCGGAATTACAGGCATGCGCTACCACGCCCAGTTGATTTTTTTTGATTTATTGTAGAGATGAGGTTTTGCTGTCCAGGCAGATCTTGAACCCTCGGGCTCAGGCAATCCACTCACCTCAGCCTCCCAAAGGCTCCCAAAGGGATTACAGGCTGAGCCACCGAGCCCGGCATGTAAAATATATGTTTTAATATCTTTATATCTTTATGGCTCTCAAACATTGGAAGGAAACAAATACTTTGAAGGGAGTTTAGTCAGATATGTGAAATGCATTTAGATTTATGAAAAACTCTCTATATGGTTCTTTTTTTTTTTTTCATTTCACCAGAGATTGGTAAGAATTCTTCGTGGAGTTGACCACTGGTTTAAAGCATTCTGAAAGCTTATATCAATCACATACCTATTCTGTGTACTAAGCTCTATCATGTGTATTATTCTACTAGACCTGTATAAAATCATTTATGCAAATGAGGAATCTGAGACTCAGAAAAAGATAAAAGCTAGTTCAAGGTTGCATGGCCTTTCAAGCTGAGCTGAGGGCTTATAGTCTTGCGCTCTATTGGTGCTGTGGTTTGACTCTGACTCTCAAAATTTCATGTGCTGAAAACTTGCCATTGTGGCCATGTTAAGAAGTTGAGATTTGGAGACGCAACTAGGTTATGAGAACTTCACACTCACAATTAGATTAATGACATTATAGAGGGAGTCAACCCCTTTTTTTCTCTAACTCACTCTTGCCCTCTCTTGCCTTCTCTTGCCCTTCTGCCTTCCACCCTCCTACCATGGAATGACCCTTACCAGGAGTTGGTACCATGCCCTTGAACTTCCAAGCCTCTAGAACTGTGAGAAGTAAATTTCTTTTCTTTAAAAATTACCCAGTTTTAGTTATTCTATTATAGCAGCATAAAATGGACTAAGACAACCAAAATGTTCAATCCCTTGAGACTCCCATATCTCCTGCTTCCTGCTTTCTTACTCTAAAAATCAGTTAGATCAGTTAGAAAAGATGCTGTTTACAATATACTGCTATATTTGTTTAAAAAGAGAGAGAGGCAGAGGGAGAGAGAGAGAGAGAGAGAAAGAGAGAGAGAGAGAGAGAGAGATAAGAAGGCTGGGCATGGTGGCTCATGCCTGTAATCCAGCATCCTAGCAATTGGGGAGGCTGAGGCAGGAGTATCACTGGAGCTCAGGAGTTTGGGATTGCAGTGAGATATGATTGCCACTGTACTTCAGCCTGAGTGACAGACAAGACCTTATGAGAAAAAAAGAAAGGAAAAAGAAAAAGGAAGAAAAATAAAAGAAAATTATGTCCGATCCTATACCTTCAGATCATCCAGGTTAGGTGGGAGTGGGCCTGGCTTGAGAGAAGAGACACCAGTTTGTCCAGAAAAACTGTTTTTGACAGGAGACAAGGGAGTATTACTCAGTGGTGTTGAAGAAGAACTTGGATTTCTGACCATCTGTTCATTTGGTTCTCTAAAAAACAAACAAACAAACAAAGAAGCACTTAAAACACAATCAAATATATGTGGGATAACCTGCATTTAGATCAGATCACAAAGTGAGGGATCGGCATGTAATAAATCAACAGAAGAGGACAGGGTAAGAAAAAAACAGTGCACGCTAGATGACAAGTGGCATGTGACCTTTTAGCTTTGTTTAGAAAGACAAGAGGGAGTGGTGGGGACTTTAGCATGTGGGAAACAGTACATCCATCTATGATTCAGCTGATGGACTGTCCTGGGGAGGCAGAAGTATACCTTGTGAAGAGCTTAATTGTGTTTGGTGCTCAGAATAATTACCAGCACGGCCTGAGAATGACCAGAGCATGTGAGGAATCCACATCTCAACTTTGTAGGTGGGGGTACCAACCATTTAAAAGGTGACCTAGCAATGTGGGCACACAACCTGGGCCAGGAATCAATTTTGGTGGCTCTCTTTTGACTGTTCAGCTCTGATGCTTCCAAAAATGGAAGTGTATTAGAATCGCTCACAATTCCAATATGACATTCTTAAATGTTCCACATCCAATTTGGAAGCGCTAATACTTTATACTTTCACAAAGGGGCATCTTACCTGTGGCTTTGCTTTCCAAGATTTCAGTTACCTGAGGTCAATGGCGGTTCGAAACTTGATGAGTACAGTACAGTAGGATATGTTGAAAGACCACATTTACATAACTTTCACTACAGTATATTATTATAATTGTTCTTTTAAGTTACTGGTTATTATTGTTGACCTCTTACTGTGCTTAATTTATAAATTAACTTTGATCATAGGTATGTATGCATAGGAAAACACAACATATACAGGGATGCCTACTATCCAAAGTTTCAGGCATCTGCCAGGAGTCTTGGAATGCATCCCTTGCAGATAAAGTGGAACTACTGTACTTGTTTCCTCCCAGCCTTATGGTCCTAAAAAAGTGTGCATGGTTTCTAAATAAGAGCATGTTCTTAACATGCTGGGTAAGGACATGAAGCAATACAGGACTTGCTGGGTCCCAAAGTGCTGGTTCTGTGTGTCTCAGATGAGAGAAGCCATTCCCAACCTCCACCCGCAGCCACCATCCCAGACCGGCCGGGCGTACTTAAGCTGAGCTTGGTGCATCCCAGGGTAGTTGAATCGGTGCTGCTGCTGCTGTTGGCTGAGGATCTGGAGCTGCAGGAACAGTTGCTGCTGCTGCAGCAACCGGGCGTAGGCTGAGTCCATGGGTGGAGGGGACTTCTCTGCCTTCTGATCTGGGGGAATGTACTGGTGATATTTGAGCTTCTTCACCTTTGGCTTGGGGTCTTTGGGCTTTTTGTGGCGGTTCTTACTGTCACCCAAGGACTTGGACTGCAAAGAGGACGAGGAAACGGCATGTGTATTAGGTGACGGCTGAGAATGGCTTGACATCATGAATATGTCATGAGGAGGTTTTGTCTGATGGACATCTTCAAATCCCAGAAATACAGTATAGCAAAAGCATGATGTACAAAGAGCTACTGGGACATTAATGTGTCTAATGAACAAATTTACTGCAAACACATCACACTGGAAGGAAACGCCTTAGGTGAAGAATCTTGAATTTTAGAAGGAGCTCCAGGAGTTTTTCCATTCTGGAGTAGAGTGAGACATAAGCCTGTGTTTCAGTGAGTGTTTTCTCCTGACTAAAATCCAACTGATTGCCTAACAAAGATTGTCTTCTGATATTGGCATTATCCACAAGAAAATTATTTCAAGACCCAAGCTTTACCTGTACGATGTCCACTTGTATACCTAATCCTGAATTGTATGGAACATCTTTAAAATAAAATATATATAAAGAAAGAAAATTATTTCATATGTCCAGGAGTGGTGGCTCACACCTGTAATCTCAGCACTTTGAGAGGCTGAGTCAGGAGGATTGCTTGAGCCCAGAAGTTCAAGACCAACCAGGGCAACATAGTGAGATCTCTGTCTCTACAAAAAAAAATAGCCAGGTGTGGTGGTGTGTACCTGTAGTCCTAGCTGCTAAGTAGGGTGAGGCAGGGGAATTGCTTGAGACCAGGAGTTTGAGGATGTAGTGAGCTATGATTGCATCACTGCACTCCAGCCTGGACAACAGAGCAAAACCCAGTCTCTAAAAAATTAATAAAGAAAGAAAGAAAGGAAGGAAAGAAAGAAGGAAGGAAGATCTATCAGAAGTATAATGTATATGTGCAATCATCTTGACATAAGCACTTTATAAATTGACTTTTTTTTTTTAATTTTTTTTTATTTTTTTGAGTTGGAGTCTCACTCTGTCGCCCAGACTGGAGTGCAGTGGCCGCTCCCAGCCACCGCAGCCTGA